GACACAGAAGACGCGGTCGGTACAAGCTAACAAACACACACACATTTATTTACTAACTTTTGAACGACGATATCGTCCGCCGAATGATATATCAATCGTGATCAACCCACTAAGACATCCTTGCAACCATATACTCCAAAACATGACAAACACAATAACACACCCAAGGCAGTGTCGCCATCGCTTGACTTACCACGTGGGCCCCCCGGCGCGCAGGCCCGCGGTGCCACGCGCCGAGGATCCACGCTAGAGACAATCATTCGGGGCAGCCGCCACGCGCAGAAGAGACTCACTCAACTCTCGCCCGCCACCAAGGCTTGCCTTCTACCAGGGGTCACTACCGGCACCACCACCGTCACAACCAGATGATGATGACAGTGATAATCAACGCCACCTACCACCTGGCTGCTGTAACCCGAAATGCGGCTTTCGGGCGAGGCACGTGTGCCACACGGCGCAAACAACTTTGCAGGGGGTGTCAGCATCTTCACAGATGTAAGAATGGATGTTTCGTTGAACGCGCTGGCCAAGCCCGCAGAAGCAACTGGCCACGAAATAGACCAAAATAGGGTAAAGCAAATTAAGGGAAAAGAGCTGGACCTCCGAGCTTTAGCTCGACTTTGACAATTTAGACAACGGTGCACATTCTTAAATGTAATGATGGCAACTTCCCCCACATGTAGCACGCATGTATTTTAAAATATACATAATAGGAGTGTTTGCACAGTATTTTTTGCTGTGAACGAAGCTCCTGTGTGAAAACTAAAACGTTCTGCTTTTATGTAAACATTTGTGGTAGGTGCTCATTTTAATCCCTTGAGCTTGAAATAAGAGCCACTATAACAAAGAAAGAGAGAGGTGACGGTGGCACTGCGAGCGGCCGCGATAGGGCCATCTGCACGCTGTGGTACGCTGCCGATAACATTTACTGCAACTTTCCGGATTGTGTAGTCTGCAGAAGTTCGTACGCATGTAGTGAGAGCAAAACAACACTGTTCAAAAGTGAAAACACGGCAAAGTCGTTGGTAAAAATAACACATCCAACCACCAGCTTTTTTCTTCGCCAGAGTGAGCAGAGATCACGTGATTTTAACCCTGAATGTCACAGCAATTTCAGTGCCCACACCTGCAGTGGTCGTCCAATACTTTGCGACGGTGATAGGCGCACTTACACTGCCCTCAGCGAAGGTAAGGTGTATGGCTTCATACTTATGCAAGAGCAAGATTGTGTAAACCATGTAAAAAAAATGGGCATGGCTTTACGACACATTGTTGAAAAAACAAAAGCAAGGACCAAGAGCTCAGCATGAGTGGAAGAGGCTGCTTCACACATGGCTCAAATATAAAGCTGACTAACTAATATGGATGGGCCATAAAAAGTACAGTAATTGCAATGATGTGCCTGCCATGAAGAAGGCCATCATGGCTACTTTTCATCACGTCACATCCACTGATAACGAGCCCCCCCCCCCCCCCCCCATGAGAATCTGCCCTACTGGTGTGAACAAATGGTGCAAGTTTAATGCTGTGGCAGCCCTGGGGGAAGCAGCGCCTGCACACAAGCTGCAGCTTCCTGCCCATGTTCGGGCAGCACCCCTGCTTATATACAAGCACCTTTCTGCAAGGGAACTTCTGGAAAGATGCCAGCAAGGCAGAACTCGGAATTCCATCGAGTCTCTCATCAGTGTGATTCGGTCACTCCAGTCAAAAACACAGTTTGCCTCTTTTCTAAGCATTGAAAGTGCTGTTGCAGATGCAGATAGCCATTTTAATGCTGGCTGTTGGAAATCACTACAAGAGATTGCACTACAACTTGGGTACTCTCCAGGATTGTGCTCCTTGCGGCAGGCTGCTGAAAAAAATGCAGGACACGTCAGAAAGTCCCCCAAAGCGCACAAAGCTGCTTCAAAGAAGCGAAAAGCTGCATTTATATTTCAAAAAATGCATCTGCAGAGACAAAGGACTACATCTCAGGCGGGTTTTAGGTGCTCAAAGCTAAAAATAACCACTTTCATGAAGTGAAGCTTTGAGCTTCGTTTTCTCAGCTTCTTTTTTGTGCAGTTGCTCTCGGTCATCTCAGTACTACTTTATAACTAATGAATCTAGAATCATTCTGTTTTTGCATTTAGATCCTGAAACATTGGTGAGCACTGTAACGCTGTTCATTTTTCTCTGCACGTTATAAAAAATTTTATAATTGTATTTTTGCAAAAGTTATTGATAAGAAAATATGATTTATTTACCGTATTTTCCTGTCTATAAGTCGCACCCTTGTATAAGTCGCACCCTCCTCAAAATGGCAGTTTTTCTGAAAAAAAAAAAAAAACGTAAATAAGTTGCACCTGCTTATCCGGCTGACGAATGTCGCGTCGTGAGAAAGCATTGCGAAAATTCATGCTTGAGGCTGCCGCTGCTTTGGCATGTTTCCAGCTGTTGGCAAACTCATGCAAGCGCGTGCGAGCGCCTCCCAACAAACATAAAAGCAATATTCCGATGAATCGAAACCATCGAACTCATCTTCCTCTTAGTTGCTCACAAACAGTGCAGCTATTTCGGGTTGTAGCTCTGCTGGCCCATCACTGTCATCCTCCAACTCACTCGAATCAGACTCCACATCGGCCAGGAGATCAACGCAGGGGATCAACTCGACCTTGCAAAAGCCCGGCACAATTGTCTTGTCAGAAGTGGAATGCCAGGCTTCACTCACCCATTTTTCCACTTCGCCAAACTCCGCGCATCTCATGCGACCCCTTTTAGTGAAGTTATGCTCTCCCTCAGACACCCATGACTCCCACAAACGTCGCAGAACGGCCTTGAAACTGTGATTGACAGATAAGTCGAGCAGCTGAAGCAACTTGGTCATGCCACCGGGAATGATTACAGGTACACAATGCTTCAAACTGATCTTTTTTTTTACGACATCAGTGATATGAGCCCGCATACTGTCCATCACCAGCATTCCTGGCTTCATGTGAAAGAATCTGTCGGGCCGACGTGAAAAATAGCAGTCAAGCCACACACCTATCGTTTCCTCATCCATCCAACCCTTCGCGTTTGCCTGAACCACCACTGTAGGAGGGAAAATAACCTTCGGCAAAGTTTTCTGCTTAAATATTAGCATGGGAGGCAACTTGGTGCCGTCTGCGCAGCAGGCGAGCACAACGGTGAAGTGAGACTTTACGTGGCTAGTTGTCCTCACCGTCACAGTTTTCTGGCTTTACTCGGCGACACTTCTCCCGAGCGGGATGTCAAAGGTCAACAGCACTTCATCCATGTTGATTATGTGGCTCGCGCTGACGTTCTTCTAATTTCCTCCCTCACAAATGAGCTGAAGTGTTCCAGCTGCGCTTCAAAGTCGTCAGGTAGCTTCTGGCTCACTGTAGTCCGGGCTCGCATGACAAGCTGATTCCGCCGCATAAAGCAGAAACACCACGGTGAACCACCACTGAACCCCTCAGTGTTAGTCTCCACTGCCAGAGCCTTCGCCTTCAGGCGCAGCTGCCCTCTAGACAGGCCTCTTCTGTTGGCTCGCCGTTATAGCACCCACGTTCCGAGGCTTTGCTCAAGGTCTGGCCAGCGTGCCTTCTTGCCGCGGTTGGCCTTCTTTGTAGACTTAATTGTCCGGAGGATGCTGCGAGCCTTGCTCCAGCCTCGGATTACTTTTTCGGCGAGTTCGAATTCTCTCCCTGCAGTGCGATTTTCATGTTTTTCTGCAAATTCAACTGCACGCAGCCTGAACTTCGCATCGAAACTTCGATGACTTTGCTTTCCATGTGGCGCCATGGATGCTGCAACAACGCCGCTGCGCTACGATCAGCAACCGCGACTGGTATAAAAATGGGCGAAAGTGACGGCAAAGGAAGTGGCTCCAGCGGCTTGTGTCTGAAATGCAAACTTTCCTTCAGTTATTTAATTTTAAGTACCTCTACTTTTTTCACACCCTCAATAATTATTTATTTTCTGTGCAAAACTATATAAGCACTATCATTTTTAGGGAGTTGATTTACCGCTCTTTTTATTTGCTTCTGAAATGTGGTTTCCGTGCACGACAAAAGGAAGCGCACGGCGAACCGCCCAGCGCAGAAAGCGTGGCCGTAATATCAGGCCACCAAATCCGCGGCATCTGATTTGATTTTGACTGTATATAAGTCACAACGCGAGGGCGCACGGCGAACCGCCCGATGCAGAAAGCGTGGCCGTAATATCAGGCCGTTAAATCCGCTGCATCCGATTCGATTTTGACTATATAAGTCGCACCGACGAAAAATTTTTTAGAAAAACGCGACTTATACACCGAAAAATACGATAATTGTATTTTCGCAAAAGTTGTTGATAAGAAAATATGATTAGGGGAGTTATAAAAATTTTTTGGTGCTAGTGTAGACATTAAAAAAATTGTGAATTGTGTTACAACGCACAGTGAACCTTGTTGAATATGCTTAAGCAAATACGCTACTGAAATTATGTCGAATTCCCAATGGATTTGAGAATGAATGTAACGATCTATTAAATATCATAACTCAAAAACTGTAAAATCTATTTGAAAACTGATTTTATTAATGATATCAGCACAACAAATCGCATTGGCGTGCCAAATTTCATCAATTATTCCAATAAATAACAGACAAAAGCTTTAATTGCCACGTCCCCCTTAAACACAACTGCTGCCTAAGTGGATTGAGTGCTTCTGACAAGATTGGTTTCATACTTATATTCTGTACCCTTGATCATGTCTTAGTGATTAGCTAAGCTCATGTGTATTAGAAATATGCTTCTAAAAATAAAGTTTGGATTATTAGTTTTTGATGCTGCCCTCTCATCAATATTTTTGTCCTGCACTGCTGTGACATAGTAAACTACATCTTAACCACATTAATTTCATATTGCATTTATGTGGTATATGGTCTAATCGAAACAAGTTACGTTTTTTTTTTTGCTAAGCTTCTATGGGATCACATTAAGCAATTGTATAGTTCAGCCTATTTTTTTTTTCTACCCAGGTACCTCCTATTTGCAAGAGTTTTGCATCTGTACAGTAAACAGCGTAGCCAGCCCTTTCATCTTGTATGATATTGTCACGGACACAGCTCATCACTTATCACGCTCTGGCTCGGCATCACTGACTATGCCAATTCGATCTCATGTCCTCACACCACTCATCCAGAAGTGCCAGCAAATGTGAGTAATGTGTATGGGTTTATTAGGAAACTTTTCTTGTTGTCTTGACCTATATGCAGTCTCAAAGTATGTCTACGGTCATGTGTACCACTGATCATGTTTACTTAACATGTGAATCATGCACATAAAAATGACTTATACCTGTGTCATTCACGTACTGTAACTTGCAAAAAGGACTATTGTTCTGGCTTTCTTTTTCATTGTGGTAAATCTGTCCTATCACACAATAAGTGCCAGCTTTCAGGCACAGCTCACTCACCGAAGTAGTGTTCACAGCACCTGTAGTCTTGATGAAAGCTGAAAGGAGTGCAGGTCTAACACACTGTAGAAATATGGATTGAAAGTGTTATTAACCACTCATCGTGCTTGCTGAATCAACATTTTACGGGAAGTTGAAGCTGCTGTGGTTGAAGCTGTTGTTACAGGAAGTTGAAGCTGCCCAGCCAAATATTGCAGTCTTGAGAAAGAGAACTTACAAGCCGTGTGCAAAGTTGCCTGTTTCTAAGGCACCTCTTTCTAAGGCACCTCTTTCTAAGGCACCTCACTCTCTCTGAAGCTGCTTGCGTCTGCTTTTCGACGACAAGCAACAGATAGAATGCTATAGGCCAAAAGCCGACATGAATCAAGAGTGGCGTTTGGATCAGATGCGCCTCCGGCAACAAGGTGGCACCATGTACCAGGCACTATGTTCTGCAGTCTACTAAGATTACTTAGTTGCAACACTAGTGCTCTCCGTAATCACACCTGGAAGGAGTGTTTTATGACACACTCAAGGTGATGATGACCTTAAGCTAGTGTCATGTAATACAATTGCTCACAGTGTAGCTTCAAGCATGTTGCTTGGGATGAGAGAAGGAAAAAAGGGCTTAAGGGGGGGGAGGGTGTGGCAATAGATAGGGTTAGTTTGGTCAAACTGCTCTGTTCTTTTTTTAAGGGGGGATGCTACACCTTCCAAAAACTCTTTTATTTTTGCGAGTACCTCAGTCAAATTTGGAGAGCCTATGTAGATTTTACTGCTGATTTCAAAAATCTAATTCTTTTTTTGCTGTGACAATTAGTTTTAAAGATATGATGAACTGCGACTTTTTCAATTAAGGCCTAATTAGCTAATTAACTGTAACTTGGATATTGATGTGCAACCTATAGAACCAATTCGGTATGTTCACAGTGTGCAATAAAGTATAAATCATTGTTCTGGGCTATTTCGAAGCAAAGTTGTGGGATGTTGAATATGACATGAAAAATTTCCCCATCTACACTTGAAACAAAAGATCCATTTAGAGAATTTTCTCCAAAAATTATTACAATAAAACTTACTTTACGACACATCCCCTGCATTTATCTTCGAAACAAAAAAGAAATCGTAATGATAACCCAGATAGAACAAGAGATATTGCTCCGGCATAATGGGAAGCACATGAAAATTGTCGTTTTGAGAAATCGAGAAAAAACGTGGGCACACATTTTTATTGCAGAAGATGCAACAAGACAACCTCAAAACGCACCAGAAGCATAGTCTGAATGCATTCTGTGCTCATGCCTCCTCTTCACTAGCTTCCGGAGTTCCAATGAGGCTGTTCTTTTTTTGTTGGAGACAATGCTGCGACGGTGGTCTTTTTCTCTCGCTCTCCTGGCACCAGTACTTGTCGCATTCATGTCCATTTCACCTAAGATTGCCGTTGCAGAATTCAAATTGCCCGTGTTGAAGCGCAGCACTGCTTCTGCAACAGCTGCTTCAACAGCGAACAGGGACGCATGGTGCTCCTTGGGGGCCAAACTCCAGATTACCGAATGTAGGCTCTCGTTGGAGTTCTGCGTTTTGCCGCGTTCGCACCTCTGAAGCAGGGCTCTTTCCGAAAGCCGGGTATAAACCGGTAGTAATGCCTCTGCCATGTCTTTCGGTAGATTGTAGGCATGCCTGGGGTCGGGCTCACCCTTTGCTTTTGCGGCATTGTGCCGACACCATGAAGTTTCACCAGTTGGGCACAGACTGTGGTCCGAGCATTCATCAGTGGAGGTGACGTGGCGGTATGTGGCCATCACAGCCTTTTGCATCTCGCCCACGTCACCTTCATGCGATTTCAGAGCCGGCCATAATATGTGCTCAGCCTGGTGATCAGCTCACCTGTGAGCCTGCCTTTCCCACCAAGGCCTCTTTTCCCATCGCACTTTTGTTTCTGCACCAGGTTTCTCAATGCGGTGCCCATCCGTTTCTGTACATGATTAATACAGTCTTCCTTCTGCACGTCAATGTAACCATACACCTTGGCGTCTTGTATGGCGCAAAATGTCCTAGAGTCTCCATCAGACAGCATAGTTGTGTAGCGCAGGCCATGGCGTTCAAGCGACCTCTGAAATAGAATTAGAGCCGCCTCCACTTCCATTTGCCCCGCTTTGCTGTTCGTATTTTTTTGGCATTTGTGGTTAGCCTTCCATTCTTGATAGCCCTCACTACTAGGCTTTGGGCCCACCTCGCAGCCTAGGCAAAAGTTGGAAAGAACGACGTAGTCCAACACGTAGCCACTAAATAATTCGATAACTGTGCCCACGCCGATGTGGGAAGAATGGCCTCGCGTCTTCCACGTGCCGTCGTAGCTAACGGCAATATTGCCCCGGTGGCCGAAGCACAAGTCATCATAAATTGTTCTAACCTTTTCCGCACATTCGCTCATAGCGGACTCAGCCGCTCGCGTTGCAGTGGGTGCCAGCGTGTTCTTCAAATGCCGCTGAAACGTCTTGTGGTGCATACCGCGGTGTGAGATGCCCATTGTTGCGAAAATATCGTTCATTTTCGTTTGGCCGTTGCCGGTAGCCACCATCGCCCTCGAAGCGAGAAGATTTACTTCAAACGGATTGCACGTTTTCGTGCTGTTCGCGCGGGGTGAAGTCCATTCATTCGTGATCTCGCCGCACCTTTCACACTGCACTAGCACTTTCACGGCAAGTCCGTAGTCCCGATCCCCTCTGACGATCGTAGCCGGTCCGTGGCAGGCTTTGCAACACAAGGCACCCATTATCGCGTTTAGGATATCTAGATGCATAAGCAGATAAGAAGCAGCGTGGTCCGAGTTCTGTGCGGTTGCCTCGCTACAACTCGCGGTGAAAAAGTCAATTTTCCGTGCAGTTGCTGGCGCCGATGAAAGCCGGTCGAGCGTCGGTTTCTCCCGGGCATGATTTTCTTCAACTTCGGCGTTTGTCACCACCTTGGCGTCGATTCGTAGTCGTCCGGAGTTCGCTTCACAGTCATCGTCGTCGGAGGCAACGCGCTCGGTCGCACCATCGCTGAACGGCCGCGGAGCGTCGACACATCGTTCGTCGGAGTCAACCAAGGGCTCTGATGACTTCGTAGACTTTCTCCCACGACCTTTGCGTTTCCTGCGACCAAATGCGTGCACGGTCCGATACTTTTTTGCGTTTCCAGGCATGGCGATACGATCAGAAGCTTCAGAGTGCTCTGCCGATTTCGAGGCGTCACAGCGGTAACCCTTTCAAAATGGCGTCGGGTCGCGTATGCAGGCGCAAGCCGCGAGCTTCCAGCCAACCGGAAAGCGCCATTTCAGTCACGTGCGCCGTTTAGCCAATGGCAGTGAGCGCGGCTCTTCGTCTTTGAGGCCCCGTTTTTCGAGCCGGGGAAATGCTCAATGTTGCTTACTGAATAAAAAAAACAGCTGAAAACGCGTTCTTTCAAACAAGACCAAAATGGCGCCGATCGAGCGCGTAGTTCCCGCGTATCGTAGAGCCGAAACCTGCGCTATTCGCCCTCAATTTAAAGGGCAGGACGCCCGTTTTCGGTTTTTTAAAGTTGAATAACGATAAAAGTTGATGGTATTCGGCTATGAAATTTTGTAAATAGGTGCGCAATGATGTCGGGAACGCGAAAAAAAGGTCCGCGAAAACTCGATTTTTTGGCTGATTTTCGGTCTTGAAGTGCCGCGTCCCTCCTTAACAATCCTGATGAGACTTTGCCAGCTTAGTCACATGCTCTGGCGGAGCCCTGCGTTAACAGTTGAAAACGTTACATCGTCTAAGTCTGATGCTGTGCTACGCAGTACGGATTTAAGGACATAGCTATGGGCAATCCAACGAGCCCACAACGTGGAGAGGTTCGGCTTATCTGTCTCGACGTCTGAGTGGCCCGCTACGTGGTAGTTGAACAAAATTACTCCGTAGAAGTTGAGAAAAAAGCTTTTTACTAGTTTGCTGTCATAAAAACTATCGGGAAACTTGGGTTTAAAATATGCAAATCTTGTGGCTTTCTCTTGGCACTGTGCCACCATCTAGGCATCACTGTAAAGAGAGCAGATTGGAGCTCAATATAGCCACAAAGCTAAATTTCTTTCATGAAAAATAAACCAGCTCCCTTCAGAGTTCCATTTTCCCATGTTTCAGCTCGGTTTTCTTTCACCTCCCTTTTTTGAGCTTCCATTTTTGAACAATTGCTCTCCTCAGTCATCCTTGTGCCATTTCACAACAAATAGAACAAATAAAGATATAACCATTACGTTTTCTGCTCTTAGATTCTAAGATGTACCGTATAAACAGGAATATAAGTAAAGATATTTTTAATAAAACGACGAGCTAAAGTTGCCCTTCGTCTTATATAGCGGTGTCCAGCCGGCAGTGCACCGCTGTCTGACAACATGTGGCTTGCATGTGCATGAGAAGCTGGACACGGCCATATTCGCATCCAAATCCATAGCAGGTTGTTGTTTTTTCCTCGTCTGGTTTTTTTTTGTGTGTGTTCCTGATTTGCCTCCAATCTGTTCTAAGTTCTCGCTCCGCTTGACATTGTGTTTCATTTTTAGTGGTCTTTTTTTCGTTCACTGGATATGAGTAGTGGTACAAGAAGGCAGTACTCAGCTGCGTTCAAACTAGAGGTTGTTGTGTACGCAAAAGCGAATGGGAATATGGCTGCTCAGCGCCGCTTCGGTGTATCAAATAAGAGCGTGCACTATTGAAAGGTGCAGAAAGGGAAGCTGCAGGTGTGCAATCGTCAGAAAATGTAATTTCGTGGGTGAAGTGCAGTTCATCCGCAGCTGGAGAATACGCTAGGAAACCTTGTGTGGGAAGTTCATATGCGTGCTCGCTGCCAGTGACCATGGATACCATTCGCAAGAAAGCTGTGGAACTCGCTTGTCAGAAGTTTCCAGACGAGTTTGAGGACAAGCTTATAAACTTTCAGGGCTTCGTGATCCGGCTTCGGGAACAGAACAACTACATGATGGGGCAGATTGACAATGCCAATGAGACCCCTGTGTGGTTTGACATACCTTCATCGACCATGATCATGCAGCGTGGCACCAAGGATATGAAGCTGCTGTCCACTGGCAACGAGCACTGGCGCTTCACTGTCATGCTGGCATGCATGGCAGATGGTAGAAAGCTTCCGCCCTTCATCATTTTCAAACGTAAGACAATGCTAAAGGAAGTGTTCCCACCCGGTGTTGTCGTTCGCATCAGCAAAAAGGAATACATGGACGAGGCCATGATGCTCGAATGGATACGAGTAGTCTGGAACTGTCAGCCAGGTGCAATGCTGCGTCTTTGCAGCATGCTGGTGTTAGGTGCGTTTTTTGGTCACTTAACTGATGCTGTGAAGTGCGCACTGGGCAAAGAAAAAATGTACCTCGCCATAATACCAGGTGATATGACGTCCACCCTCCAACCGATCGACATTGTGCTAAACAAGCCATTCAAGGACCGAGTGTGGCTGGAGTACCAAAAGTGGATGTCCAGCGACAACTTAAAGACACCGACGGGCCGCCTACAGAGGCCTCCGCTTGTGACTGTTTGTGGCTGGGTGCTTTCCGCCTGGCGTTCCTTGCCAGATTTCATAGTGGAAAGTGCTTTTAAGAAATGTTCCATCAGCAACTTGTCGTACGGCGCGGAAGACAACGCACTGTGGGAGGCGGCAAGCGACAAACTCTTGTCTTCAGAAGACAGTGGTGCTTTGTCTGGCGAATAGGAACAGTTGTGATGGTGGTTGAGGGGAGCTCCGGCGATCGGGGTGCGGTGCGCCCAATTCGCAAATAAACGTCGTTCGGCAATTTTTTAGTTGTTTCCCTTTTTTTGCGGTAACCTGAATTCCCACTCGACCTATAGTGCGGTTTATACGGTACGAGTACTGTAAAACTGTCCATATTTCTCTGCACATCATACCAAATTTTATAGTTGGCTTTTTGTAAAAGTTGTTAGTAAGACAATATGTATGGGGTATTTCAGAAATTTTTTTGTGTGTGTGCTTATTTGAACACTAAAAAATAAACCAATAGCTTTGTAGAACAGTATGGGCAGTTGTGAATATGCCTGTGCAGAAATTTTGAGCGACTGATGTATAGCTCATTGATTAATTTTGGGATGACAGTGAGAGTCTGGTACATGTTGCATCTTGAAAACTACTACTGATAAGTCAAAGCCATTTCCAGTTATATCAGCACCACAAATGAGCTTTGGCATGCCAAATTTCTTCACTTTATCTCCATAAATTACAAAAATTACATTTATTGCCACCCAGCCCCTTGAAGTGGGCGACAAATCTCGTAACTCTGCGCATTCTTGATGTATTCAAAAAGTTTTACGGTGATTCTCAAGGCAATAAACTCCAATACTGAGGTCACTGAATGATTACTTCAAAATTGGTTCACAATCTCAATTTACACGTACTAACCCATTCTATGAGTGTAAGGTTAAGGACTTTGTGTGCATGTGGAGAAGCAGACTGAATTGCATGAACTTTTCTCCTTCATATGCAATTTAACAGCATAGCTAGTACTATGAAGCTGCATCAGAACTTGGGATGTTTACATCTGTGAAACCACATTACGACGAAAGCTTACTAACGGTTGATCTTGTGCTGTTGTGGAGCAGAGCCACGTTCAGCAGTGGCAGAGTTGAACAGAACTAGTAAAGTGAGACATTAGTGTTTACTTACTGCTTCGAATTTATTGCAAGCTCTCTCTTGTCTCTGCTTTATTTTTTTAATCTGGAGTCATAACGTAGTTCATTACTTGACAGGTTCATCGCCTGCACCCACACCAAGATGTACCACATCACCTCTGTTGAATATGATGAATTCATCAACACCCTTCGTAGTGCTCGTGCAGCTTTTATGCTGACTCCTGGCGGCATGGTGCAGTTTACAGAATTGCTGCACAGCCTTCGGCGCTCCAAGTCTTGCAAAAAAGATCTCTGGCAACGCATCAATACCATGGCGTCATCAAGTGCTCCCATCTGACGCCATCATGGCCTATTAGGCACCCGCAATTGATGGCTCTAACTGAAACTCTTTTTTCTTATCCGTGTTACTTTCTGCTTTCTGTTGTGGCTCTGTCTTTGTCGTCCGTGTTCCGCATATTTCATATAGAAACAGTGTGCACGACTGAGGGGTAAACTCTTCTCGAGTCTTTGCCTACACCAGCCTTGGATAGTGCCGATAAATTTCAGTGAGAGTGGTACGAGAGTTGACCATATATTTGGCCTGAGGGACCTTGTTGTTTGTGCGAATGCATCTGCAACTTGTAGCAAATGTAACATTGTTAATTTATTGCATACTCCCACTGTGTTTGTGCATGCATGTGTTTGTGTGTGTGCGTGTGTGTGACTGGACACATGTGTGTGTATGTGAGCGAGAACTGTCAACAGGTCTGTCCAGTAGCATTTGTCTGAAAAGTTCCAGCAGGTCGCAAAGATTTGTCTTTGCTCTGGATGTGTCACGTTTCTGTGTTTATGAAAGACTTACTTGTGGCAAACAGTGGGAGCTGCATGGCTGCTACTTTGGTTCTTGCATATAGCTGCAAAAATGTGCTGTGGTGCTAGCTTGGATTCAACCATGGTTGGCACTGGCTTCAGATGTAAGCCCATCATGAAAGCCAGTGTTAAGGCATGCTGTTGATCTAGTACACATGTACTGACCAATGTAGTAGCTGCTTTCATTGCTCAGTCCTTAGCTGGTGCTCTGTATTCGTTTTTGTTTTGTGTGTGTGACATGATTATGCATGGCATAATCATGGTATGATGTGCTGAAGAACTAGGTTTCTTCATATTTTTATTTTGTAGTTAAAACAGGTGGTTAAAGTATCAGAATTTATGTTATTGTTTACTATTTTGCTCAAAGGAAAAATTTTATTTGTCAGTGTGTAACTGTAGCATTTTTTTGTTTATATGAAACTTTTAAAAAAATGATTAAACTTCCCCATAGTGCTTTTTTTATGTTCTTTTTCAGCTAAATCGCAACCCAGGACAGTGTTCTTGAGGCAGCTCCTAATGAGTGGCAGCTTCTGTGGAGCGTAGCAAGAAAATCGGAACTGAGATGGGTGCATGCCAAGTGTTTCTCGTGTTTGAATGTAGAGTGGCATCCACCAGTTATGGTTGCGACACATGTATGTCTACATGAAGCTTCTGTACAGGCTGTGCACATCATACTTCAGTGCTCAGCTCTGTCTGGAGCAAAGTTGCTGTGCTCCGTGTCGAGTTACTCGGCATTGCCTTTTCACAAGTGTGGCCTACCAGTGTCGTGGCCACAGTGTTACTGAAGCAAGTTGCCTGCAACACTCACCTTTGATGCAGTAGATGTGTCTGAACATGAGTGGCATCGGGTGACTAATCGCAAGTTTTTCAGGTGTTTTTCATCATGGTACATCAGTGCTCAAGTCGTGAAAAAAAATTTCCGGTGTCTGGTGGTGTTTGTTGTTCCCTCGTTTGTTGTTGTTCACTGTTGTGGTGATGATGGTGGTGTTTCAGTGCGTCCTAGTGACCATCACCTTTTTTTCCTTTGTTTAATCACATTTAGTGTATCAGTCTATTGTCACTGTAGACATATGACCATACTTTGCATCCATCTGATATGTAAGCTGTGTAGAAGGGCTTGCAGGTATCATGTTTCTGGGAGGCCCATTGTATTGTCATCAAAAGAAAAAAAATAACCTTGGGCTTCATTAAAGACACATGCTCCTGCTTTGCACTCTTTATCCAAGCGGTTAGCAGTAGTGTCAATCGTTAATGCCCTTCCTTTGCATGCATTCTCAAGCTGTGGTTTGCAAAGTTCTTGGTTCAAAGTTTATGGGCTGGAACATCTCACATGGGTGCCTGAATTTATGCGCGGGCAAAGCCCTTTTTCGCTTTATTTGTGTGTATATGTGTGTACAAGGCTTTGCTTCATACCAGGTAGTATGATAGCTGTTTTGACACTTGGCCGGAATAATGTAATGATTCCTTCTGCTTCATTCTATGCTTTCTTCATCGACCATTTATGACTGGCTAATCGTAGTGTCTTAGTAATATTATAGACATAAAGCACTCCTAAGACGCAAGAAGTCCGAGAAGGAAACGAATTGGAACAGAATTGTTACATTATCCCGGCCTTGCTATATAGAAGGTTTCACTTTCCTATGTCTGCTGTCAAATCACTCATGACTCAAGCAGAAGGTCTCACATAGTTAATGTGATTTTTTTCTTGTTTTTGTGCAAAAATTTTAGTGTTCTGTTCTTCACAAAAGTAATGTAGGAAGCATTTCAAAGTCATGTAAGGAATTTTTCATTATTCACTATCAAATTGACAGTGGTGAAGAAGTTCGAGAAGGAAACGAATTGGAACAGAATTGTTACATTATCCCGGCCTTGCTATATAGAAGGTTTCACTTTCTTATGTCTGCTGTCAAATCACTCATGACTCAAGCAGAAGGTCTCACATAGTTAATGTAATTTTTTTCTTGTTTTTGTGTAAAAATTTTAGTGTTCTGTTCTTCACAAAAGTAATGTAAGAAGCATTTCAAAGTCATGTAAGGAATTTTTCATTATTCACTATCAAATTGACAGTGGTGACTGTTTTACAAATTCTGTTGGCGCTTTTATGTTCACCAGAAGAGTTTTAACCCGTCCATGAAGGAAACCTCCCGTCATCCACAACACAAGCTTCACATTTCACGCTGCAACAGTTCAGAAGGGAAGACATTCAGATGCATACCATGATGCTAGAACATTCATTACTGCAGACAGTTGCAAATTCTGTATCTGTTTGTGCAATTTTGTGATATTATTTATAAACCCTATGTTCAGTTCTGCTGCTTACCCATTTTTGCTACCATTACAGAACAAGTTAGTGTAAACTTTAACAATCTCGTGACTGTCACTGTCCTAGCATTTCATCCTAGAATAAATTTTTCTATGTTACATGTGACTCTTGGCTTTTTCTGAAGCTGCATGCACTATCTATGCATGAAATTGGCTGCACAACTAACTTGTTGCAGTCTGCTTTTAGTAGCAATGAAAAGCATTACTTTCGGGGAATGAAAATGTTTTTATTGTTCGAAAAAGTACGGTTAAATGTATTTCAAAACAATTTCTGGTCTTGCATCAGAAGCAAGGTTTTATTAATTTTGTGCTTGCAATACCATCCAATTTATAATGCCAGTTTTTGTTTTCTGAGAGACATGATCCTAGGTACACTTAAGGCCAGATATATGGAAGTTTGGTATCTTGAGTTATTGCCTGTATTAAATAACTGTACCGTTTAGCTGGAAATCTTTACAGAAGTGTTGTGCAGTGCTATGCATACATCGAATTAATGCTCGGTGCCACCTTCATTTGAATGCCACACTCTTCCAGTACGTTTCTCAACAGTACTGCTATCGGTTCTTGCATCGCTGAAATTGTGTGGACAAAACTGCATATTTTAGCTGATGGCACCAAAGAAGGCATAGAATTTGAAGGGATGTAATGGGGAGAAAATTTTGGAAAGGGTGTTTCTCAAAATATGGATGGCTCGTACAACAAGGATCACATTTGCTCTCCATAATTGATTTGCTTTTATAAACATAATAGTAACACAGCCTTATAATGAGGTCAAGCATACTAATAGTGGAAAGAGGCCATTGTTGTAGTACTGTGAAGCGTGCTACGTGGGATCTATGAGACTATCCAAACTATATTATGATCCCCTTTAGGTTACATACAGGGTGTTTCAGCTATTGAGCACTCGGATTTTAAGAAAGAGGAATGTTGTGAAGCTACCTTCAAGTTATTTTTATATACACAATTAGTGAAATAAAAAAATGTCATTGAATTGAAAGAATGGTATCATTTTATTCTAAAAAATAAGCTCTACAGAATAAACGGGGAAAAAATACTTCAGTGATCTTGGCATGTTTTTCTTTTCTTTTGGTAGTGAAAAGGTTAATGGCAGCAAATTCTTGTCAATTTGGTCACATATAAGCCAGTGTGACAATTTTTGGAGTGCTCAAAGCAGCCCGAGTGTGCAATTTGAAAGAGTGAAAATTACGTTTGCAGAACCCTAAGTTGAGGAAGCGCTGTCCCCATCAATATCTTCATCAGTTAGTGACCATAGTATTGTTCATATGCAGATCCAGCACTCGGCAGTTTCATTTTAACTTGACACAGTGCACTTGCAATGTAGCAAACTCGCACAATGTGAAAGCTGTTGAAGATGAAGAGCTTTTAACAGTAGTTGTCATGCTGGCATAAAACTCGCTTGTTGTCTCGAAATTAATGAGCCATCAGTTTCCAGCCATTTTACTTGCGAATAACTGTGATCACATGTGCATGATGGGAATGGCAGTACGCAATAAGGGAGAGGTGCAGGGCACGTTTCGAGCTTATTAAACAGGGGGGAGTCTGGCGCTGTGGTTTAAATGAGAATGAAGTCGCAAAAAATAAATGAAATTCTGGCTTTTACAGTGAAAAATAACTACAAGATTTAGGTATGCATAAAATGTTCAGCGTGCCCGGGCTGTCGCAAAGTTCGTCATAGGTGTCCCAGCATAAGGACACTCCCACCCCCCCGCATATGTGTTCACTAAGCCTGTCTCTGAGACAGTGTCCAATCTGGCCCACACAAACCTTGTCACGTGGCCATACTCGGGAATTTTTTGTGGGAGATATTCTGCTATTGCAGTTGTAGCCGTTCTGCATATAAAGCTCAACATGTGTTATTCAATTTGTCTGTAAGTTAAGTGCATTGCTGATACAATCAATTATTGTTAAGGCAACTTTCTGCATAAATTTAATTCACTGTTATGTCTCTGCAAAAACCATACAATGCTGTGGACAGAATTTTTTTTTTCAAACGCAAAACATTTGCTCACTTTGGCCACAACTTGTGCTCCATCATGATCCTAGTGGTGGGGAATGGCTGAAAAAGAAACAAAAAAAAGTAGTAAGGTGGTGTTGCTTCTTTTTTACGGCAACAAGGGCAATGGCAGTAACCTGTTCTTGAGTGAAGACGACCGACACACTGTGCTCTGTGCTATTACGCGAGTGCCAATGGCAGTGTTCATGTCTTTGGGCCGCTGTCAAATGGCGACATGTATAATTATGATATTTTGTTGAAGTAGTCTGTCGGTGATGACAAACTACTTCAGGCAATAAAAAATTGAATTCATATGTTTTGCCAGCGCTTGTTTGAATAAACTTAGCATTTCCACAAAGATTGAATTAACAGAAACCGACTGTAGTAGTGTGTGCATGCAACATTGAGGGTACACATTTCTTGTTGCATAAAAATGGGATTTAATAAGTCACGCTGCATGTGCACTCCACATATGCATCTAAAACCACCCATTTTTTTAACATGCGTTGACTGCTAGGCTGATTATTGCCGTATAATGAAGCAAGGTGGCAAAATGAATGATAATATTGGCATGTCCGCAATAAACAGTACTGTGCAGTTGCTTTTGCCCCACTGTTGCAGTGACTGGAGACCGGGACACCGGCTATTGGCACTTATTGACTCGGCAGTCGATGCTCACGTGTTCAGGTGTAAAAAAAAATGGGCAGCTGTACAGATTTCACTCCTCATGTTCCTTGTCAGGATTGACTTTCTTCCACATGCCTCTTAACTTGATATGTGCAACAACTAAAAAAAAACACTGCGGCATCATTCTTTTCAGCCAAGCTTATTTAAACACTGCAAGAGATGTTCAAAAAGCATATTTCAGTGCTGGTCTCTCCTTTTGTCATTCTCTTGGCTTACGTTTTGTGGTTCCTTATTCATGGTTCTTTTGACATCAGTTCACCTATTTACTGTGATGTTATCTGGGAATGAGCTCTTTGAAATTAATTTGTATCTAGTAATTTGGTGGCTGCATGATGGCGGGATTTTTTTAATTTCCTGTATGGTGCATGGTTTTGCCGTTTTTCTTTTCTCAGCTCTTTTATGAGTGGAAACTAAATGTAATAAAATTTCTTGTATAATCAACATGTAGGGTTTCATTCAGGGCTTAAACGATTAGTAAATACGCTCAGACTTTTTTTTACACCTCCCAAGCAAGCTGGCTAATTTATGCAGAAGGCCATAATGATATTTTGGGAATGATATCACAGTGCCACTTGCTGTGCTGATGCTCCATTTCGAAAAACAATTCACACACCCCTCTTTTGTGCCTAACCAGCCCTTTTTACTTATATGGTAAAGTAATCTTACTCACTGGCAAGATTATGTAGCACCGACTTGGTTGATTGGTCCTTTGCCCAACGAAACAGTACCTTTGGCCCTGCAGGCATGAAGTTCAAGACATTTGCTGGTAGAGGAAAGGCACATGTGCCATGGCATCTTTCTTTCTGTCCCAGCGACCAGTGTACTGGACATGCCAAAAGGCGGTTCAGAAAAATAAGCAGAGCCACAATCGCAGCCAAAACCACTTTTGAAGTTTCTGGAAGAGACGAGCAATGCATTTTCAATGTTTTTCCTCCCTCAGCCCCACTTTTTTATGGGTGCGCCTCAGAATATGGAAGTCATCCACGAGAAAAAGTGTGTGCATCGCATGGTCAAATATACAAAATTATTTTAGGAGCTTTGGTTGTGTCATACAAATAATTTAAATTGTGCAAGCTGACCGATGTCGTCTTGAAACAAAACTGTGAAAAGGTAGCTTTTGTAACGAGTACTTTGTGCACAATGCTGGAATGTTTTTATGTCCAGTACACTGCACACCAGGATGCAATTAAATTGCATCGGGCAAAAAGAACAGTCATCGGTTGTTGAGTAATCTGACCATTGATTTGATATGTGGGTTTAACATCCCAAAACCACCATATGATTATGAGTGATGCGGTAGTGGAGGGCTCCGGAAGTTTCAACCACCTGGGGTTATTGAACATGCTCCCAAATCTGAGCACACGAGCCTACAGCATTTCCGCCTCCATCGGAAATGCAGCCGCCGCAGCCGGGATTCGATCCCGCGACCTGCAGGTCAGTAGCCGAGTACCTTAGCCACTAGACCACCGCAGCAGGGCAAAGAGTAATCTGATCATCGATGGAACACACCATCTCTTATACATCACTGATAGAGCCTTGCAGTTTTATTACTGGTGTTTCCGAATAAACTTGGCCAGTCTCATCCTGCACGCAATCTCAATGGAACAATTTGAAAGGGTCATGAATTTTCCCAAACATTGCTGTGTGACCTGCACCAAGCGATGCCAACGTTGTGGATGAAGCCACATCAAACTGAAAAAAGTAAGGGTGTGTAGATACTATTGGGCCACCTCGAATGTATGCAACGCAGGTTGGATACTACTAGCACAAAGTGTACTAGGCATAGCAGTTAAGTAATAATTAGCATGCCTGAATGAATCGATTGCATTTGTACCTTTGAGCATATCTGTTACTTGTCTGTCTCCAGCTGCAAAATCTAATTTAAACACGACTGAGCTGGTGCTACTAGGCATGACCATGGCCTCCTAGGGACAAGCCTGACCCTGCCAAGCAATACTTTCAATGGTGATTTCTGATGAGGGAGGCAGCATCCAGTAGGTGTTTTGTGTCTACGTATTGAATGACTACACCAATTATTTTCGACATGGTGCAGCTCTTTCCATGAGTTCATCAATTGTCATCTAGCTTGTTCTGTCCATTTATTTGTATCACAATCAAAATCGTTGGGTTGCTGTTATCTAGGCTCACTATCGATAGACCATGATTGCGCAATGCTTCCAACATATTTTTCCTGGTCGCTGAGTCACGCAGACATGGAAGAATATGCGAATGACCCTTGGCATGAATATTTGTATCGGCATGTGACGCTTTGGGATCGAAAATACCTATATTGAAAAAATGTGTGGCCAGCTCCACTTCGCAAGCATTGTTGAAAAAACGAAGCTGATGCCTCCTTCATCAGGCTCGCCCATAATTGTGCACCTCTCGTTGGTTAGCTCCTTTGT